AGTGGGAGACAACTCCCAAAACTGCAACTTGTGGCCTCCATCCGGAAGCCAGTCATTGGCAGGAATCCTAGAACAATTCCGGCAACTTAAAGTGGAAAGTTATGTCTCACAGCCACAACCTCTCCAGACGAGTTGAGTCCTAACACAGCCCACCTTTACTTTCCCTAGTCCGAGAATTGATTGGGGAATCAGTGTGGCGTCGGATGGGGGTGGCCTGAGAATCGGCCCAGCCTGGCAGGCCCAAGAAGCAAGGGACAGCCAGCAGATATAGCTGACATTAGGTACGTTACAAACCCCAATTTCACTCCCTCCACAACCAGAAAGGAGATTATCCCCTGCAGAGAGTATTCCTCCAGGGTGGGGGTTTTTTCCTGGTCAAGGGTGGGCCCAATGCCAGTGAATATAACTTCCTACTACACATTTTATACTGATTTTGTTTATAAACAATCATCTAAACTATACTTCATAAATATACTGTTCATAAATATACTAATATTTTTAAATGTTTAATAGAGTATTTCTTAAAAATCAAGACACAGAAACTGTATGTGACCTAACAATATGCTTAATTCTTCCTATACCAGTTAGTGATTCCATCTAGTAACAGTCAAATAAACTGCAGATATTTTTTCTCATACATTCATTTGATTTTTTAATCATTTCAGCTATCAAAAACGCAACTGTAGAATGATAGAGATTAAGATCTCAGGAAAAGTAATACTGAATTTACAGACCAGTGATATAGTAAACAGTTGAACAGTTACAGTTAAATACAATTTTAACTGGTCCTCTGTTGTGGTTCACCGGCAGTAGGTGCGGATGGCTGAGGTCTCGGAGAGCGAAGACTCGGATGAGGGTCCTGTGTGTGATGCAGGGATGGGGCCAGGACTATCAGAGTGGAGTGTTGCCTTCAGAGCTTGTGGAGGCTGGCAGCAGTGATGCAGAGGACTGAGGAGCCTGTGCCCAGTGTGCGTGCATGCAGGACTGCTTGAAGGAAAGAGCAGCTGCAGCAGCATGGGCAACTCGGGAGTAAGGCTGCAAGGTGATGGCCCCTCCCTTAAGGGATAAAAGCCAGCCTTCAGAGGTGGATTCTTTGCAGGAAGCAAAGAAGTTCTTGCACTTCAAGTCCTGCAATTTAATCTAGTGTTCTTGGCAGCCTTGCACAACCTTGGCAAGGCTTGTTCTTATCTGGGACAATTAGTTTTTAATAGCGTTTTACTGTGAATGAACATAATTCACAGAGAAGCATTAAAAAGGTTTTGCTTTTATCTCTGTTTGGTGTTTGTTTGCTTTGAGTGAGGCTTGGGTCAGAACATCCTCAGATCAGAAATCTTTAGTGCCTTTTTCAACTAACACATTTTATTAAAAGGCATATGACTTTCTCAGCTAAACTTATTTCATCAAGAGTACAACTAAATTTAAAGCGATGTAAACAGATTGATTAAAGAAACATAATATGATTTTATTCACCCATTGTGTTCACTGAGACCTTCTGAAATAGTTTGAAACTTTCGTATGTACATATGTTCAGTACTGGTAAAATTGTACTGGTAAAATTTCTTTTTCCCAAAATGTTTACTTGCAATAGAGTGCCAGAGAGGCTGAAGTGCTCTTATATCTCTTGTCCTTGTTTCAAATGGTTGATGGAAAAATTGTTGACATATGTTTGTCCATTAATTATTTTGAACAAAAGCTATCCTATCTGTTCCATGTAAAATCCCATGAAACACTGCTGCCAAATGGCATATATCGCGTTACAGAAAAAGCACATGAAGCTGTTCTAATCTTGTGTGTACACCTGTTGTATTTCTAGTTGTAAATGCTACAAATTTTGCTTGATAATTTTATTAAAGTTTTTAAAAATAATAAAAACTAATACAAATGAAACTAGAGGAAAAATTCAAAATATGCATAAAAAAAAGCAGAAAAGAAAAAAGTAACAAATTAAAGAAGTGATTTCTAACCATCATATGGAAAAGAAGCTAATATATTAACTTTGTATTGTCTTTTAAAGCAAGGGTCCCCAACCACCGGTCCGCGGACCGGTACCGGTCCGTGGAACAAGTCCTACCGGGCCGCTGGCTTGCTGGGCGCCGCCATCTTGTTTTGATGAAAAAGTGCTTCCGGTGAGCTTTTCCGGGTAGAAAGCTCACCGGAAG